GGGGGGGGGGGGGGGGAACTAGCCAGTTTGGGAAAATGGAATATAGTAATTATAGCTTACAGTTAGTTTTGTAACTAGTCTGTCCGATGTCAAGCATTCTTCGATAGATATGAAGTTTAAAATTTAAAATAATGTTTTATGTTCATGAAACATGTGCACTAGAATAGTATGCCATGAAAAGAGAACAATGCCTATTAACAATATATTGCATTTTGACAATCCTCCAGTCATGAGATAGATTTGTAATTTTAGGGAATCAACCCAAACTAGGTCTAAATTGTAAAAACTTAATACATAAGGTATATGTAATTTGCAGTGATGTTCACTGAGGTGAGAACACCAAACAATCTGTACTCCTAATCTGTTGATTCCAATAAATACATCACTTCCCCCTAGGCCTCTTCTTACCATGTTGAATCAGGTCATTGTATGACTGCAAACTCACCCCAACATCTTCATCATATTCTATTCCAAGCTCCTCCTGCAAAATGCACACAGGAATAAATATGATAACAGAAATATTATAAATAACTAAATAAGATCTATGGTTTTGACAGGCCAAGAAAGAAACCTTAAATTCTTTGGGATCCTTAGGTGAATTCTCAGTGAGGGTATCCCATAAATCCTTGAACATTCTTTTACGCTTTCTCCACTGACTTATGGTCTCTGACAACATATCTTCAACTACCTTGCGTTCTTCTGGCTTCACCAGAGTAACACCTCCACGTAACTTGGTCAATTTCTCCTCCATTTCTTGAACCTGCAGCAGAACATAAAGATGCAAACCATCTAAGTTGTAACAGTGCAAGCACCAATATTCTTTCAAGAAATACAAAAAAAAAAAAGAGCAAAAGGATCCACGTCAGCTACCTCCAATCTCAGATTTACTTCTCTTTCAAAGATCTGGTCCAGTGTCAAATTTGATTGCAATGACTTAATTTCTGCACCAACAAGTTATATCCATAAATCGCAAGATCACGAGGCTTGTCCTCAATCTCAAATTCCAATGGTTCCAAATGCACGAAAACTTGTATCCATAACCAAATCTTTAATATTAACTATTAAGCAATGTGATAGTTATATTAAGATCATCGCATAGGAGTGCTCTAATGACCTGTTTAGTCACAGAAAAAAAAGAAATTTTCCCATTCTATTTTCTTTTACACAAACAATTACAAAATGTCACATTAATTTTATTTCACTTCTTGTTTGTAAGGATTTATATGAAAAACACTAACATGGTTATCAAAGTTCTCATAGTTTTTATACAAGTCTTTAAAGTTTAAACCCAACAAACCCTTATCTTTTCACATCATAATATTACTTCCTAGGCATCCTGATTGCGTCCAAATTCGCTACAGTCAGCAATTTCACACATTCACACGGTCAGTGCATTAGAACCATTTCACATAGATCAAACTACTTAAATCTTGAATGTCTATTTTAAGTCCAATTTACCAAGACAAAATAAGTTGTCTGATCTCAATTCAATCACTTTAATTCGCTAACTGCATGAATGCGTGAAATCATTGACTGCACCAAATGATTTTTTCTGTAACATGAAAAAATGAAATGAGTTTCTCTCTAAACTAAATTGGCTTTTACATAACTTCAAAAAACACATTTTGGAGATGCTAATATGAGATCATTTGTACAAATTAGTTTATACATAAATTTTAACTTTGAAAGAAGTATATTTCATTTTTTTCCTTTTTTATTTTCTTCTCCAATAAATGTCTATGTTTATACAGAAGTTTATCCAACCAGACCCTAAATAATTCAAGTAGCTGGTACCATCACTAAATCAAAACCATTAGATGAAGATCAGACAAGACAAACTAAACCAATTGAAACCAATTCTCAAATGCATTTTTGAAGTCCAATTTACTAGCATAAAAAATGAGTCATCCGATTTTCATTCAATGGTTCCAATTTGCTAACTGCCTGAATGCCTGAAATTGCTAATCACAGCAAATAACCTGGACTTGATTCACTCAATAACTAATGCAAGAGTAAATTACATATACATCCCTTGAGGTTTTGTGAAATTGCACATACACTCCCTTACTTTCTTTACCCCTACACTAACTTGTTAATTGTTTGAAAAACATTAAACTGACACCCCTTAAACATCACATGAAGCCCATAATTGTTTGAAAAGCAATCCCCTATAAAGAAGTTATTGTAAACAACATAAATTATAGAAGAAAACTTAGGTACAATTTCTTGAATATAGTTGATAAAGTTTACCAATCAAAATTAAAGTTTTAACTCGATAATATGTGTAAAAAAATGTAGATTACAGAGATCTGCATTAAAAATAAATGCATGTTACCAAGATAGAGAATTGCACCTAAGTTTTCACCAAAATCAAAATGGGTGGGTCCAATTTCATAAGAATATAGTGTAATTCACTCTCAATGCAATTGATACGGTCAACAAATGGAAACCATCGGATGAAGATCAAACAACTCAAAGACTCAAAACCAAAAGACGAACTCAAAATGAGCAATTCAGCCCATTGACAAACAACACGAATCCGGGTGGATTACTTCATGTGAGCGTACCTGCTTCAACCTCAGCAATAGCCTTCTTCTGATCCTCTAGCAGCTTCTGCAGTTGAGCATTGTGGTCCTTCATCTGATTAAGCTCTTCGCTGTTGGGAATCTGGAACTGGTCTTGGCGCGCGAGGTAAATCTTCTGCTTGCCGTACTCCTTGAACGAAATGCGCCCTCCATCCGCCAGGCTGTCCAACGCCTTCTGAATCGCCGCTTTCTTCAGGTTGAACTTCTGCAGCGCATCCGCCACGTTCTGCGCGTTCAGCGGCCGGTTTTGCTGATAAAAGAAACCAACCAAGGTGAGGGTGTCACGTGACGTAAGGGGTGAAGCACGTGACTGGGGAAAGGGGATGTTATGTTACCTCGTTCACGAAGTTCAACACGATCGCTGACAAAGGGAAAAACCAAAAAAGGATGAGTCAGGTGTAATCGAATCGTTAGGTTCTTAGATGGAAAGTGAGAGAGAGATGATGATGACGACGATACCTTCGGCGCTATCCGATTTTGGTGCCATTGTTTGGAATGCAGGAAAATGAGCGGGAAAATTCTGGATCGCCCCTTTCTTCTTTCCGCCAACGAGGATTGCCTCACACGGAAAATGAAATTGTCCATCAACGACACCGTTTTGATGTTTGTGATCAAAGAAAAATAAAATACTACTCCCCCCTCAGAATTGTTTACTATTATAAAAAGAAATACCAAATTACAGTCCCAAATTATTTATGCAGATAGAACTAAATACTTAACGTTCAAAATTTGATTTCCGGAAAATCAAATTCTGAATGGAATGTATATTGTTTTTTGTTTTTTTATGAAAACTTATTTTTTTAATTATATAAATTTATAGAAAATAATTTATAATTATAATAAATTATATATTAATAATTTATAATATTATAAAGTAATAAATTTAATAATTTATAATTTTAATAAATTATAATTTTAATAAGTTATAATTTAAATAATAAATAATCTTAAAAATTTATAATTTCAATAAGTTATACTTTTAATAAATTTTAGGTTTAGGGTTTAATAAGTTATAATTTATAACTTTTAATTTTAATAAGTTATGATATTAATAATTTATAAATTTAAAAAAAGGGTCTTGTTTTTTTTATTTTATAAAAAATAAAAAGTTATATTTTATTTATTATATAATTTTAAAATAAAATATTATTATTATAAATAAATAAAAGTTTCTATATAAAATAAGGTATAATTAGTGAAGTTAGGATTATAATAAGTTATAATTTGAATAAATTAGAATTTGAATAAGTTAAAATTTTAATGGATGCTTGGTTGGTATGAGTTGTGATAGTAATGGATGAACAAATTTATAGAGAAAGTTTGGTTCGAAGGAGGAGGACCAAGTAGCATTGGATTCTTGAGGCGTGGGCCCCCACATGAAATCAATGTTTTGCTCCTATAATGTGCACCTGAGGCGTGAGTCCCACAGGGAATCAATGCTTTAAAAGCGTGATCAACATGTCCTTAGAGGTGGGATCCCCATGGAATCAATGTTTTGCTCCTATAACGTGCACCTGAGGCATGGGTCCCACGGGAATCAATGCTTTGAAAGCATGATCGACATGTCCTTATCGTTGACAGAGGTAGGACCCACATGGAATCAATGCTTTGGTCCTGTAATGTGCACTTGAGGCGTGGGTCCCATAGGGAATCAATGCTTTGAAGGGGTGATTGATATGTTCTTATCGTTGACAGAGGTGGGACCCACATTATTAGGGTTTACGGGAATCAATTCCATCTTCGTACAATGTGCAACTAACACATGGGATCCACAGGAAATCCAATGCGACCATTATAAATAGGCCCTCATCCCTTCATTTTCTTCATTCACCTCACCTTCTAGGCTTGTTCCTTCGTTCTTCCCCTTCTAATCTCATCCTCTGAATCACGTTCTTCATTCTCTTTAAACCCTTCATAAAATGTCTTCTTCAATCTATGTTATTGTTCACTCAGATGGTTTCATTAACCAATGTCTTAATGAAGGAGTCACCTTCACCTCCCCATCAACAAAATTAGCTTGTATAAAGAGATGAGTTACTCTAGAAAGGCCCCAAAGAGTCATCTACACAAAACTATATTGACACGATAATGAAAGGGTGGCTTCCATACATTTTCGCTACCGTATTAAACTTGGCCCAGGGGTTAGTAACTACACCTATGTTGAGTTGACTGATGAAGAAGACATTGAGGGACTTTTCAATGTTCACGATTCTAATCAACTCCAATCATGTATTGAATTATATGCTACCTTTACCACAAATGAATCACATCCACCACAACTTTCACCTTCATCTTTACCTTACGAAATTTACCAAACTTACCAAAACACAAACCCATCTGGTCCTTCATATGATATCCTCTCCGAATACGACATTCATTCATACACATAACTTTTAACTGGTCCATTCATGGACCTTAATGAAATACCCTCCCAACCATTTGAACAAGTTATACCCTCTCCTGTTCAACCAAATGTACAAAACACCATTGAAGAGCATGTTGTTGTTGGTCTCCTAACAAAAAATCTCTTTGATCTTTTTAGTGAAGACGAAGATGAAATCCTCTCCTAACATGAAGATGATGATGAACAAGAAACCCTCTCAATTTCAAATATTCTACTAGTAGAACCATTACTCATATACAACCCACCTGCACATTAACAACGTATAGTTCTATCTCCCAACAAAAACAAAACAATATATTCCATTCAAAATTTGATTTCCCGAAAATCGAATTCTGAACGTTAACAGTATTTAGTTCTATCTGCCTAAATAATTTAGGGGTGTATTTTAGTATTTTTTTAAAAAAAATTATATTAGTAAAAAATTCTCCCCTCGCACATGAGAGATAAAAATAAAAAAAGATATATTTATAACTAGTTGTTTCACTTGTGTGTGTCTTATACAGTGACAATCTTTGACAATAATTTATTATTTTTTTTTTTTAAATAATTATCTATTATATTAATATCAAAATATGTTTAAATATAAAAAAGATGAAATATCAATATGCTCGTATAAATGTAAATAAGTAAAATAAAATATACTATAATTTCTTTTTGTCATAAATATAAGTAAATTGTTTGATTTTTTTGGGAAAGTTTTTAATTCTAATTTATTAATGTGTTATTATTTATTTAATATTACATCAATATTTAATAATTAATATTTTTATGTAAATTTTATAGTTACTTTTACCTTAAAATTATAATAATTTAAAATTAATATAATTAATATTTTACGATCTCGCTACCGTTTCTTAAATTAATTTGTTATCACATCATATAATTAATTTAATTTCAATTTTAATTTATAAATTTGTATATGAAAATTTATTAGAAGATAATTTTTTGTAAAAATTGTTCCAATTATATATATTTATATTGT